CGGAAGAAGCTTTCTACAAGTTATATAAGAAGAAAGGAGAACACTGGATTACATACAGAGATTTAATAATACATGAAGATATAAAATACAGATTTAAAACTCCAGAAGATGTGACGGATTCAGGACTTTACCTACAGTAGTACAGATATAGGCAACTGAAAGAAAAATTTGCACTAGAATGTCAAAATATGGGATTTGAAAGAGACCAATCAGAATTTGAAAAGAAACCGTGTACAAATCAAAAACACCTTATTGGAAAAATATATAAAGTATTAGTGCAGATGGAAATAGAAACAGAACTGCTAAAGAATTGTACAATTAAATTGACACAAAATGTTGGGCACAATATAGAACTAGATAAATGGGGAAAGTGTGTGTTGCAACCCCGAGCAGGAAACGAGACCATAAGATAACAATCCACCACACTTGACTGTGGGAAAAAACAATCCCTTTTTATTGATGAAAAATGGTTACAAAATAGAGGAAAATGCAAAGTCAAAAAGCCACAGTAAAATTCAGCAGTCAGGAATATCCATGAATTAGATCAAAATTCCAAAAGCAACACTGTAAAAACCTGGAACCTGTTAGCAAATCACTAACCGTACTTGGAGCACTAGAAGCCTCTTGGGATGTAGGCCACGGGAAACAGGGAAATCTGCCAAGGTAATGCCTCAGTCTAAACGATGCCTGATCTAATGAGACAACCCGGCGAGAGGCACTTAAAACTGAAGAAACTGTTTTGTGACACGCCTCCAGGCTTTGAAGCCTGAGCTTCCTTTTCCCTTAATCTGCTTGACCTTCGCAGACTCTGCGATTCACTCCTATTTTTCCAAATCTGTCCTTTTCTATCCTCATTAAGGAAGCCAGGTGTTAACTCCTCTGAAGCTATCACCGCTTGGCTCTGCAACATTCTCATCAGAATGTGTAGTTTCACTTTCCAAGCCACTGACATCAGAATCAACATTTTCATTACCGTCAGGGAGAAATACAATCAGAGAATCAGGTTCAGGTTCACACGCAGGCTGAACCCCAACAGTGTGGACTATTGGCTTAAAGAAAATTTGATGCTACAATTGTAGAAAAAAGAAATATAAAATGATGAATAGGTGGTACCTGACCCCAGCAAAACTAGCTAAAATGTATAAGGGAGGAACAACCAGTGCTGGAAATGTAAAGAACAGGATGGAACTTTCTTCCACATGTGGTGGTCCTATAAAGAAGCAAGAGAATTCTGGGGCAAGATTTTAAAAAAGCTACAAGAACTTTTTCATTCAAAGATACCATTTGGAGCTCAGTCTTTGGACTGTAATAAAGTTTTGATTGATTGATTGATTGATTGAGTGATTGACTGATTATGCTGTAGCTTCTCCTAAATGTTTTGGTAAATTTTGGTGTTTGGGACTGTCTCCCATTCAGTGCTGCTACTAGGTTGAACTTTAAATCTTGCTAAGCTTCCAATCTGAGCCGTATTGAGAGTAAGGACTTCTACACATGGGCTTCATTTCAGTGATGGCAATGGACTTGATAAAGTTTGGCCACGATGCCTGACGACTCTCATCACACCCAGTAAAACTGCTTCTGGGATGGCTTCATGGCCACACTGGAAAAAAAACCCTGCTACCACCAAAAATAAGCTAGTGGCAGATGACAGAAGGTTTTCCGTCTTTCCATTAGGAAAGATGGGTTGAACTGGATTTAGGAGGTTTCCTCTCATGTGATGAACAGCAGTTTAGAAATATATAAATATTTGCCTGCCTGCCTATCTACTTCATATTTTTAGTATTAGAAATACTAATAACATACAACAATTTGACCTCATACATAATCATGGGTTTTAGGGCCCAAATTATACAACAAATTGAGGATTATTCCATGGAGAGGGGAAAAACATCACCACCACCTCAGGGTGTCACTTGGCCACTGCTACATCAATTTCCTAATCCAGGCAGCCAAAAAATCTTTTCCTACTCTATTCAGAGAAATGAATGGTTCTTTTTTTAAAAAAATGTTAAGGTGCAGTGTTAACTCTTTTCAGAAAAGAAAACACCCCCTTCTTAGTGTAGAATGGGGAAAGGTGAGAATTTACTCCCTTCTGGGAAAATCTAAGAGAAATACTGACCGCTTCTCCCCTACTCTCGTGGAGCTCTTTTAAGAAGAAGCACAAAATACCTACCTCTGCCATTTCCCCACCTGGTTATTCAAAAACAGCAGAAGTGTCAATGTGATGGAGAGATCCTGAAATGGACGAAGCTCCCACTGGTCACCACTGTACTTGGAGAAGTGGATGGGTCCTTTTTCAATAAGAGTTGTGGTATAGTAGTTAATTTTTGTAAGTAATTAAGCGAGTAAATAAAACCTCAAATATTAATTTAGAAACTATCAGCCTGAGTAATCTGAAGAGCAACATTTCAATAACCTTTGCCTTTGGATGCAAATAACTATTTAAGTTCTATCCCATTAAGAGCTTCCTGAGTTTGAATAATTCCATAACCTCTAGACTTTAGACCGATGGTATTATATTCCATCATATTCAGCTTTCTTTAAATGCTTACTGCATTGGATATGCTGAAAGAAGTTTTTCAAGAAAAAATGTATTGAAATTCATCTCTCTGGTATTCTTCAAGGATCCTTCCTCTATAAAAGCTTTTTCATTCTATCTGTATCAGCATCGTAGTAGAGATCTTGGATGCATTCCCATTTAGGTTTTATTTAAGACAAAAAATCCCAAGTGTGTCAGTTTTACCTCTCAATAAGAGTGTAGAAAACTGCTGATTTCATGTGCTGGAATTTAGATCACTTTTCCCTTTGGCATTTAAACCACATGATGCACTAAAAATGAAGACAGAAGTCCACCAAAGGAGAGATTTATTTTCAGTTGAAGTACTTGCTACATTAAAACCACATGTCAGTAAGTAATGTATAAGTAAACTTATAAGTTTGGCTAAGGCATATGGTATGAACGCTGTGTTACGTTTTCTTTATTATTATTTTTTAAATTAACTACCGCAGTTTGGCTTCACTTTAGGAAAGGCCTTTGGTATGAACTTAAGAAATTGGGCAAAAAGGAGTCTTGTAGCACCTTGAAAACTAGTGGATATAATATGGTATACATATTTATGGGCTAGAGCCCAAAGAGGTAAGGGATTCTTTTCCCCCTCCAAAATAAAGAAATGCTTCTAGGGCATTAAGAAACTTGCCCTCCTGCATACAAGAAATTTGTTGACATATGTTCATCTTTAAAACAGACTTTCTTCAAAGTTCCCAAAAGGCACTTAAAGTTTCAACCACATATAAGTACAGCAATTTAAAACAAAAACAAGTATTAAATGGAGACACCATACAGTGCACCATTATATGTGATACAGAAGCCCCATTCAGTAACTTCATGCCCATAGATCACAGAAATATAAAAAAGGTTTTTGAAGAGGCTCTGAGGTGACTCCACCTCTCAAAGCAATGCATAATCTGTACCCCCAAGCAGTATGGAGTTGATGTCAATGTAAACTAGTTCTGCTCAGATCTAAGCAAGTAAGGCCACCAGTGGCTCACAGTCCAAGTAACAGGCTTTCATCCTGATGTGGAAAGAGAAGAGGCCAGTTAAGACCATCTAGATCAGAGGTTCTCAACCTTGGGGCTCCACAGGTGATAGTGAGGGGCTCTGCAGCTCCATGCTGCTTCCTGCCCCTTCTCTTTCCTTCTCCCGAGAAATCAGGGAAATTAAAATTTTGAGCTGCTGAAAACAACAGCAGCAGCAGGGTCCTCCTGGGGCGCAGACCTTTATCTGCACCTCCCTCACTGCCCAGATTTTTTAACTTGCTGCCTACCCTTCCACCCACCCCAGTTCTGTGCTTCCAAAACCCAATTTCCCTCGCACAGCAGGTGCTTTGATTTTGTTTTTCCACATGGTAGAAGGAAGTTGCACTGGATAAAAGAGTTTTCACGTTATGCTGAAAAATGCATATTGTATGTACTAGAAGAATGCATTCACACCACAGTGGTACTACTATTGAGAAGGCCTTCTCTAGCAGCCAACTTTTTCACCACATATGCTGGTGAGCAGAGAAATAGAGGCATTGGGCAAAGATCCTCAAAGGAGAACTTAAGGAATATGTGGAATAGAAATGTAAATATTTGACTGTTTCATCTTTACATGTGAGGACAAATAATTACGGTAATTTCTGCTTGCTGGGGGAAACACTGACTATTCTTTTACAGAATTCTCCCTGTGTTCAAACATCCTTAAATGTTGAAGAGGAATTATAGTTTTCCTGTGGAGAAAATAGGTTTTCTGTATTAAAGATATTTCTTCCTGAAAATGACATAGGTATTATTTTGCAAAAATATATTTAAAATATTTATTCTGTAATGCTTTGGGATGTTCAGATACTGAAAGAAAATTGTGACAAATTGGGAAACCCATTTGCAGTGTGGGAATGGATCATTACAAAGAACATTTCCATCCCTAATATAAAAAGATTTTATCTTTTTTTTGTAAAATGGCCCAAGGCATCTTAAGCCTGAATGGTTGCATTTTGAATTCATCCTAGAAATATACCAGAAGCCAATGTAGATGCATGGATACCAGTATAATATGGCAACAACCCGTAGAGTAACACAATGGGTAACAAAATTTGAAAAAAAAGTTCCTGGTTTGAAAATGTTATTTCCTGTTTAATTGTGAGGTACTTGCTTTAAAAGTAGTTGTTACATACCAGAAACTTCATTTTTGTGGCTGCCAGAAACTATGTTGAATAGCTTAATTTATATCCCACCCCCTCTTCCCAAAAGGAGTCAGGGCGGCTTACAACAATGAAAAGCAAAATGTGCTGCAGGATGTCCCACAAAAACTTTTTTTGCAGTTTAATAAACTTTCCCCATGTTTTTATCATAGAACCAATTAGAAAATGACATTTATAACTCAGGGACAAATATCATGTTACATAGTGTAATTCCTGTAGCCTTAAAGATTTTATCTCCTGATTTCCCTCTCCTTCCTGCAGATGTTTCAAGATGTGTGGCAGAGAGAAAATACACTCAAGAACAAGCACGCAAAGAGTTCCAGCAAGTTTTCATTCCAGAATGCAACGATGATGGCACTTATAGCCAGGTTGATTGAAAATCCTTGACTCTCAACTGCAATGTCTTTTTTCATGCAGAACAACTTTTGTTGGTTCAGAATTTACAGTTCAGCTTTCTGTGTAATACAGCTGCAAATATGTGACTTTATAAAATTGGATTGCAATTCCTAGTTAAGTACAGTGAGCTCTGTAATAGGTGGGTCCCAGTGAGTTGTCAACAGTATTATGAAGATGGTTGTTTGAAGATGCACCCTGGATGAGTAATGCTGGATGAAAGCTAAATTTACCCTTTGTGATTCCCTGTCTAGAGGTCCCGTTTTTGCCTATGCATATCAGAGTCCTGGATTGCACCCCGTTTAATGGTGGCAATGTGATTTCAGTCTGATGTTCAATTTTAACAAAACTCTGGGAATTAATTCAGATAGATAGAGATAGATAGATAATCTGATAGATTAACTGATAGTTTAATAGGAAAATTATACAGACAAGGTAGGATAAAATAGTATAAGATCAGATAAAGGAACATTCAATTACAGTAAATCCTTAGTGATGGAACTGTACATTTGATTTCTAAAACTATTTGAGATATTAAAATATATTTTCTGAGTTTTGTATGATCAATGTTTTTTGATAGGTTCAATGTCACAGTTACACCGGGTACTGTTGGTGTGTCACTCCAAATGGCCGTCCAATCAGTGGTACAGCTGTATCACACAAAACTCCGCGCTGTCCAGGTAAAAGGCATGCTATGAATGAAGAGATTTTTCAGCTCCCTCCCTTTTTCCCTTTCCTACCCCCTCTTTCTCCTTCTCCTTCTTTTTTGTGAAATGTCAATTGAAGTTTTTTTGTAAACCATCTATATAAAAATGGGATCAAAAGCAAAACAAAGAAAACTCCACCCTGCCTACTGTATCATAAAAGAAATTTGCCAAAGTAATTGACTTAGTTTTTGAAAAGAGTTGGAATCCTTGCTAACTCTCTTCTAATGATGGTTGTTAAGCCTCACTGTGGATTAGTTTATGTTTCTTCTTCTTTGGAGTCACCATGGTTTGGTTTCCAAGAGTTTTAAGTGAACTTTGGATTTGGAGTAACCTCAAGTCTCACTGCAACAGCTAATAACACTTTGAACAATAATCCAATTTCCTAATGGCATTATAAAAGAGAAGTTTAATTTTATGGTTGTTCAATGCAAAACTCAAATGACCCCAAATTGGCACCCAGGCAGCAATCATATGCCTAAATTACTCTTGTTATTGAAATCAGTGATTACATATACACATCTAACAGCGGGATTGTGTCTGTGTATGAAAAAGTCAGTGTTATTCAGTAATTAGTTGTAGATTTTCATCTATGTGAGACATTTAATAATCTGGATCCTGTATTTTACTAGAACCATTTTATGTCTTTCAGTAATATTGTTGTTGGAATTTTAATAAGTGCTTTTAAAAACTGACAGCAAGAGTAAGAGCCACTCTTTACAAAAGAGGAAATATTGCTAGGATCAGATAACATCTGCATGGCAATTGCCCACAGTTCTGCTTCCCACAAAAAAAGAGAGAGTAGATCAGCAAATGTTCCTATTTTAGCAGAAAACTTCTGAAACTGGAATAAAAAAGATTGCTTTACCAATGTCCTTGCAGTCATAGAGTTGATATTCTTGAAATTATATGATATTTTCAAATTACTTGCTGAGCAGTGTTAAGTTTTTCAATTATTTTAATTACTTGTGCCGCTCAGAGTGTGCCTATATATTAATTATTGCTTCATTATTGTCAAATTTTGTCTATTCCATGCTGTTATTGATTCAGCACTCATTTTAGTGCTTGTTGATGTATTGTTTTAATTGTGATTTATGTTTAATTGTGGTTTTACTATTTTAATTGTTTGTATTGGCATTGTATCGGTGCCCAATGTAAGGCATTGAATCTTGCCATTATTTATGTGTAAGCCACTTTGAGTCCCCCCAGGGGTGAGAAAGGCAGTATATAAATATTGTAAATAAATAAATAATTTCAACCCAGCCCATGTCTTTTGGGCCACCTAGTGAACTTCATACTTAACTGGAGATTTTAACCCATATCTCTTCAGCCTACACTCTGTGCATTATTCTGCAGATTGATTGAAAGCCCTGGTTATTTGTTATCTGTATGGCTTTCATATGGAGTCATGTCCACATAGAAAATATTCCCTGTTGAAAAACCATTCCTGATCATCTGAACTTCTGTGCAGCTGCATGTTTCAACTATTTCCTGACAAGGCCATTCGGGTAAATAAAATTGTGCTGTATTTACTATAATTGATCCAACATTTATCCTTCTAACGTTAAAATCATTTATGTACAGCATGGTTGTAGTCCATTGCTGAAAGCATACTTTAGATTCGCAGCTTCTTGGAGGCCCTCCCAACCCCCACTCAGAGCACTGGACAATTTTGAGAGTTCAGAGTAAATCAAATGTGCTTCCCTGACAGCATGAAGATAAATGCCCTGTCCTCCACAAACTGTCTGCTGAAAAGCACCAGATGCAACACTGACATTTTTACTGCTCCCCATGTCAATATATCAACATTTAGAGAACTAAAAGGAATTTTAGAGCCACTGAGCTCTTGGGAGATGGAATGGAAATTTAGAAACAGGTGTTAAATTATTGCTGGAATGTGATGTACACAATGCAGTTCCATAGCATTTGCCTTCAAGTTGTGCATTTTCTTTCCCATGTGCTTCGTACCAAAGGTGGTGTAAACAGCATGTATGTGGTTTCCAGAATCTTTCGCTTTGAGATGGAAGAGTTATTGCAAGCTTGGATTCCTCCTTAGATCTATCCTGATAATAAAACTACAGCAGTATTAATATATCAAGTTGGCATGGGTAATTTGTGGCTCTTCAGAAGTTGTTGGATCAACCTCATCATTCAACACCATGAGCTATACTGGCTGAAACAGATAGATGCTAAAATTTAGCAACATCTGATGGACCACAGGCTGCTCATTCATGTATTAAAATAGTCATGCTTAAAAAGCTACTTCTCTGCCCCACCTCAGTTTGCATCTTGGACATAGAAATGATTTGTTTTCTGCTGTTGTTTTTTATCCTTCCCTAACCATTAGGTTCTCTAAATGAGAGGCTTCCACAGCGAGAAGGTACAGGAAAAGCAGGTAAATATCTTACCATTTAAAATGGATGATCTTTTTTTAATAACTATGAGTACTTGTCTTGCTTTATAAGTATAATCCTATCCCACCCCTGCCATAGACATATATGTCTTTAATCTTTTCCCATTTTAATGTCCCTAAAAAACCTTATTCTATTGCATTAACTTGTATGTTTTATAACTAGGCTCTCAGTATGGAAATTATGGGCACATCTACACCCTTGAGGTGGCTGCAGGATCAGTGACTATCCTGCTTGCTTGACTGTCATCTTACTTTACCTTTACTATCCTCATTGCTGCTACCAAATGGCCATGAAATACCAGGAGGGTTCTTGGCCATCACTGCCCCCTCTTTGCAAACATCAGTAAAGATGCTCATGTGATCAGGGAGCAGGACCGGGGCAGGGGGGGGGGTGATGTCAGGATAAATGCCCAGTAACTGCCAGAAACTGTCTGGAGCTCTATTATCATCTCCCAAAGCAATGTGGGAGAGAGCAACATGAGTCCAGCTGTTCCCTGTTCCCTGTAGTGCAGAGGAAAGGGGATGGTGATGCCAGTTCATGTGAAAAGTAGACCAGTTCAGGTTGTAGCTGATTCTGTTGTCCATACACACCCTGAAAGCAGGGTTTCTCCCCTAATTTGCTTAACGCAGGGTAAAATTGGGTCAATCTGGTTTACCTAGGTTAAGGACCAGATGTTGTCTGGACATCCAGGTTCAACTTTTAGTCCAATTCGAGGCCACTGTACACAAGCAGCCTAGTTAGTATATATATTTCATCCACTGCAGTGGTTATTAAGGATAAGTTTTCTGATGATTAATTATTGTAATGATTAAAACTGGTGGATCTTATTCAGAGCCAAGTAGTTGCTGTGATTATTAATGATATATCCTTATAACTTTTCATATGCCTGTTTTACAATCATTCATGTCTTTCTGGACCTATTTACCTCCCACTGTACTCAGTGGAATTAGTCCTAAGATTAATGGGGAGGCATATTCAACTCTATTTAATACATTTTTCCCCAAAAGGTACAAGCTAAGGAAATCTGACAGATAGGAAAATTATGTAACTGTCTTGGATTTATGGTCCTATGGGAACCTTAGAAAACATAACCATTTTATGTTTTGCTCCTATGCAAAAACTCAGTAGCTGCTTGAACTGAGTAATATGAGATGGATATATATTACTTGAGGGCAATGCTTTCTTTCATACACTTGCCAGGCAAATGTGTAGGATCCAGGTGTCCACAACTTTCTTAAGAAATGCAATACAACTCATAAATTTTGGGTTTTGGCACTGAATACTGCTAACATGCTATGTGCCATCTCTAAAGGTTGCCTGGATTTTGAAACAGAGCAGCAATGAATAAGTTTTATCACCTGCCTCCAGCTACACACTGTGCTTAATATACATGGAACAAAACCAGGTGTGAAGCTGAATACTTTACAAAGAAAACTTCTGCAGTTTTCTGCAAGAGTCTGAAGCCAGCCAACTGTCAGAACCTATTTACACAAACATGGCACAAGTCCTGTTAGGTTTAATGCCGCACTACATGGGTATCTTGAATATCATTTAAGGGGTGCTTTGGGATTCAATTGCCAACATCTGTTTTGTTGGATCAGCATGTTTCACAGTGAGAGGTTTTGCAGAAATCAGCATTTTGTACTCCACATATTCCAGTAATTATACAAGACATTTAAAACAGGATGCTGTCATAGAGAGAGAAAAGGAGAGGAAAAGAGAAAGAGAAAGGTACAATTGCTTCTGTTATGGTCTTCATTTTTAAAATATTTTACTTTGTGCAGTGTGTACATTTTTTTTTTGTAATTCACTAAGAAAGCTACCTTCTGTGTTTCTATGTTTGTCAATGGCAGCTTATTGGTCCCAGTGGTGTGATGAATGCACTTTGGGTTTAATATGAACTTTAAAGGAGCTATCCTTAATGTTGACTGTTATTTAGGGATATGATTCAATAGTTTAAAAGAGCTATCCTGAGTGCTGAACCCATAAGGTGATCAAATTCTATACTTTGGATATTTTGGAATAAAATGAGGAATGGGTTCACATAACTGTAATCTGTTATTTTTTTATTTCATTTTATCTTAATTTTTGAATGTTTATATCCCACTCTATATCATGGGATCTCAGAAGAGATCTCAGGCTTTATTTGTTTATTAAAACAATGGCATAGGACATGGGTATAAGGTGTGTGGCCTCTAGATTGAGTTGGCCTGTAATTCCCATTGCACTGAGCCAGCAAAGTCAATGGTGAAGGATGATTGAAGTTGCAGTCATTTATACAAAAAAGAAATGGATGCTTATTTCTGGTCACCCAAATTTACATGGTTTCAGAGCAGCACCTGATAAAAACAAAAAAACCAGAGGAGCCATACTGGCATGATTGGGTCCATAAATTCTATGACCTATACCACTGTTTCTCAAACTCTCCTCTTCCAGGTGTTTTGGACTTCAGCTCCCAGAAATTCCAGCCATCTTACCAGCTGTTAGGAATTGTGGGAGCCGAAGTCCAAAACACCTGGAGGAGCAGTGTTTGAGAGACACTGGACTATATATACATCTTGATTTATTCTTTCTGTGGTCATCCACAGTTCCTTTTCTTTTAATAAGCAAGTATTGTAAGAGCCAATGCACTGGGATCTCTTTGCACAAGACAATAACCTTTGCAAAGGTTTTCTAATTTAATTGTCTTATTGCCCAGAATGCTAAAATACCAATTAAATTCATAGTATACTGTGACTCTCTGAGACTATACAGTATTTAAATAATTATTCTCAGTTATGTATGTGCACTTATTTAGTTTACTCTCATAATTGTAGTCTCCTTTCAAATCTTTTCCATTCTGAATTCAGATGATGCCTCAGCTCCTGCACTGGAGACACAGCCCCAAGGGGATGAAGAAGGTGAGCATTTATAGAAATGGAACAGGAACAAGATGGAAGTGAGTGTTCTTCTTAGGTGATCCCTCGTTGGATGAGTAAGATGGTCTTCCATCATGGGTTTCCTTGTGGATTCGTAGGTGGCTGTGGAGCCCTATCCTTGACCCGCATCTTCTCCCACAGTGAAGGCATTGGTTTCCCGGTGGAAGGCGGTCCTGGTCGGGGTTGGCTTGATGTGCCTTCCTCCTGGCACGTTTCTCTCTTTCACCCTCCACTCGTGCCTCCTCGAATTCTGCAGCACTGCTGGTCACAGCTGACCTCCAGCTGGAGCGGTCAAGGGCCAGGGCTTCCCAGTTCTCAGTGTCTATGCCAGAGATTTTAAGGTTGGCTTTGAGGCCATCTTTAAATCTCTTCCTGTCCACCAACGTTCCGTTTTCCGTTCTTAAGTTCAGAGTAGAGCAACTGCTTTGGGAGACGGTGGTCAGGCATCCGGACAACGTGGCCGGCCCAGCGGAGTTGATGTTGGAGGACCATTGCTTCAATGCTGGTGGTCTTTGCTTCTTCCAGCACACTGACGTTTGTCCGCTTGTCTTCCCAGGAGATTTGCAGGATTTTCTGGAGGCAGCGCTGATGGAATCGTTCCAGGAGTTGCATGTGACGTCTGTAGACAGTCCACGTCTCACAGGCATATAGCAGGGTTGGGAGGACAATAGCTTTAACAAGCACCTTGGTATCCCTACGGATGTCCCGGTCCTCAAACACTCTCTGCTTCATTCTGGAAAATGCTGCAGTCGCAGAGCTCAGGCGGTGTTGTATTTCGGTGTCGATGTTGACTTTGGTGGAGAGGTGGCTGCCAAGGTAGTGGAAATGGTCAACATTTTCTAATGTTACACCATTAAGCTGTATCTCTGGCATTGGGGAGGGGACGGCTGGTGACTGCTGGAACAGCACTTTGGTTTTCTCGATGTTCAGTGACAGGCCGAGCTTCTTGTATGCTTCTGCGAAGGTGTTTAGATCTTCTTCTGAATGAACACAGACAACATTGTCATCAGCATACTGGATTTCTATAACAGATGTTGTTGTAACCTTGGTTTTGGCTTTCAGTCTGCTGGGGTTAAACAGCTTGCCATCTGTCCAATAGATGACTTCCACTCCTTCTTAGGCGATCCCTCGCCTAAGAAGGTGAGCATTTATAGAAATGGAAGAAGGTGAGCATTTATAGAAATGGAACAGGAACATGATGGAAGCGAGTACTGTATACTGCAGGGGTAGGGAACCTTTGGCCCTCCAGCTGTGGTGGACTTCAACTCCCACAATTCCTTGAGGCTCGGCATTCGCCCCAAAGGCTTACCTTGGGCCCAATGCCGAGCCTAAAGGAATTGTGGGAGTTGAAGTCCACCACAGCTGGAGGGCCAAAGGTTCCCTACCCCTGATCTAAAGGTTGTTTATTTGCAGCATTGTAAGGCCTAGAGCAGTGGTCTCAACCTGTGGGTCCCCAGATGTTTTGGCCTTCAACTCCCAGAAATCCTAAAACTGGTAAACTGGCTGGGATTTCTGGGAGTTGTAGGCAAAACATCTGGGGACCCACAAGTTGAGAACCATTGATCTAAGTAGTTAAAGGTGGTGCACATGGCTTTATACTAATGGGGCAGATAGTGAGTGGCACTAAGTCGTCCAATGTGTTTCATGGCTTAGCGATCTTGTCTTTTTTCTATGCTATTGCATATAATGGGACTTCAGCTTTTTGATTGATTGGGTTTTGGTTCCCACAGAGAGGTCAGGCAACTGAGCACCAGCTGATACTCAGTTCTCTGATCTCTGTATGCTGTTTACTAGCTGCTAAAGTGAATGAGAAGATATATAAATGTATGTACTGTCAACCTAAAATGGAGGAAAGATCAATAAGTGCAGTAAGAAAGCTTTTCAGTTCTCTTAGTTTGTTGAATTGCTGAGGATTTTATTTCTATATTTAATGGCTAATTTAATGTAATATTGAGAGTTATCTTGGGACTCGGGACTATATCTGTTCTTGTTTTTATTGTATTTTAAAGTTAATTGTATTGTTTTTAATCTACTGCTGTAAACCGCTCTGAGCCAAATTGGGAGTAGCGGTATACAAGTCAAATAAATAAATAAATAAAATATCTCAATGATTATTTCATACAAAGTTGGAATGCAAATCTTACAGGAACTAGTTAGCTTGAAACCTAAGAAGGCAGATATACAGTGATAAACTATCAGGCTTCCCTGATGTTGTTGTCATAACATAATGAATACAAAGTTTTGTCTTTATGTAAGGCTGCAACCCTAAGTGTTTGCTAATGAGATCTGTGGGCCACACTGGGATGTATCCCCTGGAAAAAATATATGGGATTATGCTTTAGTAGACTGTAGCACCTGGTAATTTTCTTAGTGTCTTGTCAAACATTGTCATTATTATTCCAGTTGTAACAGCTTGTGGCCTGGTGATGTAGTCAGGTTTAACTGGTGAGCTCTGATTCACTGTTTGGAAACCACCAATACTCCTGAAATCCACAAGACTCTGCTGGTGCAATCTAAGCCAATGAACTAAATGATTCAACAAGAGATTTTACAGAATTATTTACACTATGTAATCAATGCAGTCCTGAAATGTGTGCCAGGAAATTTGGGTCTGGATTGCAAAATCTGCCTTTAGTGTGATATTAAAGGTGGACAAGGCTTCTCTTTGTTACATGTGATGTGTCAGATCTTAAATATTCTTATCCTTCCTTTAAACTTTCTCCGCTGTAAGTCATCAATTTTGCCATTTTTACTATAAAATAAAAGTGGTCTATTACATTTTCCAGTGGAATGATCTATATTTTTTCTTAATTTTCTAGATATAGCTTCTCGTTACCCTACATTATGGACTGAGCAAGTAAAGAGCAGGCAGAATAAGACCAATAAAAATTCTGGTAAGATTTATTGTAATAACCATTACTTCCAAGCATTCAGTAAAGTTAAAATAGAAGTAAAGTAAAAGGCAATTTTATTTTAAAATATATGTATAACCTATCCCTTATGCTCCTATAATGCCAAACTAAAAACTGAAACTCTTTTACAACTTAACATGGCAGCTCTTTTCTCTGTGCCTTCCCCATCACCATAAGGTGTAAAGTAATTGCACGACATAGCATAAAGCAGAGAATGTTTGTCTTACAAGGTGTACGTCTAAGTACTTCTCTTTTCCATATTTTCTCGAACTTTTCTTTGTGGCATGTTTATCTCAAGCATTTCATAATGATGGAAAAAAGAGAGAGAAGGAAAAGCCCACTTACTTCTCTTTCTCTGCCTACTTTGTCATTGTTTCTACCACAATTGTTTTCCAGGTAAGTGGGAGGAAGAATTATGTTTTGGGTGTGGGAGCTGATGTGGAGAAATTTGGGGAATGTATTGGCGGGAAAGGTAGTAATTCAACTCAGTGTTGAATGCTACTTTAAGGAGAATTTGTTTGAGCCGAGCTTTTAAGAGCCCCTGTAGCAAATGTTTCAGGGAGGTCAATTCTGAGGATGTTTCCATTGCCTCTAATACTCCCAGTCTGCCCTTTTCTAGCAGGAAGGAGGGAGGGAGTTGCTTCTATTGGAATCTTCTAGGGGTGGCAATCCACCTTTTAAATAAGTTGCAGGAGCCCTAGCATTGTTTAAGAAATATCTATATCTGAAAATCAAAAGTGGTCCTAAAATGGAGTTTTTAGAAGACCATGTGGTCTCAGGAAGGCCACAAAAAAGAAGGAAAAATTGTCCTTCAACTGCCAAATTATCCATCTTTTTGTTATATTTGAAAATGGCAATGAGAGATTTTTCACTTGCATCTCTTAGATTAGGCAGCCACTTAAGGGATCAAAAACTATACCATTGAGTGAAAGCTGATGGCTAAAGACCTTTATTCATCTGCTAGTGAGGCCTCTGCAACAAAATCACAACCAATACCATGTAGGTTATTATTTTTTTTTAAAAAAGAAAGCCAAGATTTCAGTGACCACATTAGGTGCTTTTAACCAACTGACAACTTCAGTCTTTCACATCTCCCCCTCCCTTCACTGCCTACAGCATTGCTTCATATCTGCTGCTAATAATGATATGGTACTTTTTTTTCTTTTGGCCTTTGCTTTATAGGTTCCTTGACTTTTTTATTTTCATTATTTGCCAACTGGTCTGGGCTGTAAAAATAAAAAACACATATATGGAAGAAGTGACATAAATGCAAATTTAATAAAACATCTGTTGTGTCATAACTCTGTATATTCTCCATCTTTCTAAACATACTCTGAAAGAGAGTCCAAAAGAGTATTTTAACACCAACTAATTGATATATCAGAAATTTAGTTTGTTATTTCTCTTTTTGATATGAAAGAGAACACAACATTCTTGGGAGAGTAATAAAACAAACCAAAACGACGCCTAGAAATACTTCACATTAAGTGATATTTATTTCATCTTTATTACACTGGAGACCGGTTAGAGCCAAAGCAAAGGAGTTATTGTGCTTGGAACTAGCTTTAGCTATTCAAAACTTTCACATCTAAAAATATGAGAGACCACAATGAAAACAGAATAACAACCAGTTCATCTACTCTGGTATTATACTTTATGGGCCATAAAATCAACACTACTGGCTCATTTCTATAAAAAGAGTTCTAAGATTTGATGGGATGTCCCAGTGCCTATCTGAGACAGAATTGATTTGTCCCACTGTTTTGCTGACATAACCATTGTATTGGAGCTTTTCCAGTGAAAAGGTTAAGTTACTGAGTAGTTGGGAAGGCTGAGACATGGTCAGGGAAATGTAGGGGAAACTCAGAATGGTGGCAAAAGAAGGGAATGATCTCCAGGTAGTTCGGGAATGATGTATTAATTCCAGTAGGTTTTGACAAAGAAATCTTTCAAGTATACTATGAATACCTGTTTGAAACATAACTTATAGGAAACAGTGTTGTTGTTTTTTTTTGTGGACCCAGTAGTGAATGTGGGACTTTGCATTTAGTAAGAACGAATACAGACCCGCATCTTGTTGGAATGGGAAAGGGCACAATTTAATTTGCGGCAGCTAAATAGGCTTAGCCCATGTGTCCAGACCCACACATTGATTGATTTGACTGTTGGCAAAAGGGGGAAGAAGCTTATATGAGCCAAGAATGAGCTTCACTTGCTTCCAGTTAACCAAGTTGCCACTTTGAGTCCTCTTTAGGGAGATAAAGTGGGATATTATTATTATTATTAATCTAATAGTTTGGCCTTCCTGTGTTGTAGAAAAGCATGGTTTCTGGAAAAACATGAATTCTGAAAAACAGAAACAGTCCTCACGATCTCACGATCTTCAGGTAGAATCAGTAGATTGTTGCTCCCAGTGAGTTGGAAAGGCACTTATTTCTGTGGCTTTGTCTTCTGTAGCTCTTGCATATCTTTGTAAAATTGAATTGGACCTAATAAATCAAATCCTCATTTCTTTGACAACTCACCTCCTTCTCTTACCCACAGCAATGACACCATAATTTGTCAATTCTGAAGGCTGGTCACCCAGACCAAGAACTATTATTTTAGCTGTTTTCTCCCAAGTCAGCCCCTTCCAACCTCTAATGCAGGTGTTGTCAACTTTCTGGGGTTCCCAAAAAATGCAACGAAAAACCCTAAAGTAAATCCTAAACGAGAAGCAGCCAAAAGTTCATTTCTGACTTTGATAGAAATGGTATAGTTTTTTTGCTGAACTGTTGGTAGTTGGAAGCAGCAATATTTTGAATAGGTTAATTACTATCCTAGAAGCCCCCAAAATACACCCATTTGGGAGGCAGAAAAGGAAAATCTTGGGGTTCTGGAAAGTTTGACAGCTGTAAAAGGCTGAGGGCCATATGTTATCTGGGACCACAATTTGCTCTAATGCTTTGTCTTATTGCCATCTCTTCTCTTGTCTCATATAAGTTAAAGAAAAAATGTGCCCCATGTAAAATGTATACCATGTAAAAATATTTGGGGGACGTTCAGGGTAACAACAGAATCTGCAACTTTTTTTCCAGTTACAACCCTTCCTTTTAGCCATCATGGAACCAACAAATTTATTTGAATTGCAAAGAACATGCAGAAAGTTGAATTGTCACATCAAACTTTAATACATCCCCATTTTTTAATGATAAACAGTATGTTACCCTGTAATCCTATAGGGTTTGAGATGTATGTCCCACTGAGCTCAAGAAGGGTTACTCCTGGTTAAGTAATGAAAAGAATGCATCTGAAGTATGTAATTTTATACATAATTATCATTGAACCTGGTGAGATTTACACACACATATAGGCTGCACTGTAAGTCTCTTACTTGGCTTATTGAGTGAATAAAAGATAATAACCCTCACCATCTTGGCTAGGTAGGCAACTATTTCTGAATGCTCTCGTTTGTTTCTTTATTCTAAACCTTACATTGGTAAAATAAATTATGTGTGCTTTGTGTCTCCTCTGTGTGCCTTTTCTAAGCAGACAGATAAGCCTTTCCAGACCTCCCCAGAACTCTTATATATTAAGTTGCTTCCTACACGGCAGTCTGCTAGAATATATTTCTTGTGATATTTGCTGTATTTAAAAAATACCGTTTTACAAGCATTGTCGTTTATCTTTTAACTTTACACATTAGGCCAAAATACTTACAATCCCTGGTTTCTGGCATCTCCTACTTCTGCCTCCCTACTAGAATGAAGACCCTCCCACTTTAAAACCTATTTAAAAGAGTTCTGTTTAACATCTAAGAGATGTCCTTTGTACTCAGCATGTTCCACTATTTTATGGAATCCCTCACAGTGGAGACATTTTCCTGCTTTTTAGCAAGGCTATTCATTTTCTTCTTCTTTTTTAGTATGTATTAATTTAAAGTCAAAAGATAGTATCTTCATAGAACTATTTTTTTAATTTCATTTATACGACCTCTTTGCAAATTCAAAATGAAACCACAGTAATTTCTTATTTTTATTAACTCATCTGGTTCTCCATAATTCATTAAATCAGTAGGTTAAACATCTTGGAGAGAATCATATATCTGATGTACATCAGAGAAAAAATGTGCATTTCATAATAAATGTTCATGATGGCACCCACCTGTGCCTGTGTTCTGAAGTGGTTTGACCATTGGACTAGGATTCTGAGACTTCAGGGTTCGAATTCCTACTCTGCCACGGATAACATCTGGTAACCTTGGGAAAGTACCATTCACTAGAGAAAGGCAACAGTAAATTCTCTTTAGAAATCCTGCCAATAAAATGTATTGACGGCTTAAGCTTAAGCCAACTGTGAATCGGTAAAAATAGCATTCACTAGCCCAAAGCAACAAAACTATCCTTCTAGGTGTCATACCTTCACCATAGTTCCTGTGTTTAGTACATTTTCCTATTCTAATAGGCAGAAATACCTCTCCTATGGCTTGTTTACTGAGAATAAAAGCTTTAGGTACAGCATGCTGTTCTATGGGATTTTATGCTATTTCCCTGTCTTTGACCCCTGATGTTTTTCTGAAGTCCCATCTAAACTTGTGCTAAAAGAGGCTTTTCAGCCTTATTCTAGCCAAATAGATTCATCATACAGCACAGAGAGCTTAACCAAAATCCACTCTGGATTTTGGAACACCACCTGACAAAGAGAGCTTGAAGGGGCCAGGAAGAGAAATGAAAATATCTTGCTGTATGAGAAGTTTATTCAGAAAGGGTTGTTAGTTGCTTTATGAGAGATGTCATTATCTGCATGCAAACAACTTAATTATCTTAATGAAAAATAGTGTAATCTTTCATTTTGAAGAAAATCCTACCTGTGTTTTTCTTCAGTGAAGCTCCCTTAATTTATAGCATGCAATCACTTTGGGATGATATTTTGTGACTTCATCCTATGTAGTCTTCTCTCTGTCTTCTTTTTGTTTTAATGTGCTAGCAAAACGGAGTTCCATA